CCCCCCCTCACAATGTTTAAGTCCCCCCACCTTCGTTTACGCACATTTAAACGTAAACATGCGTCGCATGCGCCAGCACGCGAAAATGTCAATTGCGCTACACATGTTACATATCGCCGCGAACGTTGCAGTGAAAGCAATCATTTTAGGGCCATCAATCACTGATAACACTAAACTGATGAGCGGTAAAAGCTTTTAATGCGTCGCCTATGGCCAATTTTGGGTAATTTCGTTTTTTTGAGGTTTCGCGCGCGTGCGCAATTTTAAGTCTTGACATGTTTAGTGTCTCTTTACCCGACTAGACCCGTCTTTTATATTTTACCAAAAAATTGGGAAATTATAAATGTTTTAGAATTTAATATAGGGGAAACTGTTTTTTTTTTTAAAAATCTGTAATTTTTCCTTCATATATAAAAAAATAAAAACCCCATTGGTGAATAAATACCACCAAAAGAAAGCTCTATCTGTCCCCAAAAAAGGGTATAAAATTCATTTCAGTACAGCGCTGCATGACGGAATAAATGTCAGTTAAAGTACCGCAGCGCTGAATACTGAAAAATGGCCTGGATGGGAAGGGGGTTTAACACCGCGGATGTCAACTGGTTAACCTTTTCATTTTTCCTTTTTTTAACCTCCAGAAAAGGCGGCGGCGGATTGACAGAAGTATGATTGGAGAACCAACAAACTTTGTTCATACGGCACATGTAGGATCAGGAGATGTATTTAGTGGAATTAATTCAGTAAGTAATGCAATTGGGGAAATTACTTCAGTAAGCCTTATGGTATCCATGGTTATTGTCAATTGCCAGGTAGTACAGCTCCAGCTTGACAAAGTGTCAGATTGTCACATTGTTGTTATTATCATATACGGAGTGTCTTTAGCTGTGCACAGGACATGTATGATAATATGTGATTGGTGCACTTTTGGCAAATAAATAACGATTAATTGCAATCCACATGGGTTCTTTGATACTGATCTTTATCAAGACAAACGGATGATGCCTGAGTACCTAAATAAACTCCTTTTCACTCTTGTACAAACAGGTCGGCCCCTTTTATTTTAAAATCATAGTTTAGACCAGGGGTGGGCAACTCCGGCCCTCCAGCTGTTGTGGAACTACAAGTCCTATGAGGCATTGCAAGCCTGACAGTTACAGGCATGACTCCCAGAGGCATGTTGGGATTTGTAGTTAAAGCACAGCTGGAGGGCTGCAAGTTGCCCACCCCTGGTTTAGAATGTCACCTGAGGAATATTGTTTAGTACCACAAGCCAAATCCACTTTCTTTACCTCTCTCGCTGCGTTGGAAACTAGATAATGAATGAACAAATGAATTCCCATTCAATTAGCAAAGAGTAATTTCAGTGTTGTAAAAATTGTGCACATCTTAATGGTAATCTAGATGTTACACAGCAGTTGTGCAATCATGTAGGCCTGCTTGTTAATCTCTTCTGTCCTCAACAAAGGCAAGATAGAGCTTATCTCTTGAGGTGAGGGGATGTGTTGTGAGCCCTTCAGGATATATTTAGCAACTACTGTTTAAAGGACGTATGCTGTGACAAAGAAAGTGCTGTGTTGTTGAGGCGGTAGTACAAAATGCACGACTACCATTTATGATTTAAACAAAAGAGACGTGTAACTGCCGGCTGCAGTGGTGTATTATGCAGTGACTGGAATATCCCTGGTCCACCGCTAGGCAAACAAGTAAATATAGCAGGTTGGTGGTTGAAATCTAGCAGCTGGTTTACCATGAGAAAAGAGCCCTTGAGCCACCAGGGATCTACCTGTTGGTGGTCTCATGACAACTGCTACTAGCTTTCCAACTGTTGAGCTGACATAGAGGAGTTCATGGTTATTTCCTGTAAACGGTTTCCCAGGAAAGTTAACATAAAATCATTTTAAGTTTTCTTCAGTTTATTCAAAAAGATAACATTTCAGATTGACATTGCTAGACAGCATTTAAGATTTCAATTACTGAACTGAACCTGAAAATGTCAGTTGCTTTCATGATGTGTTGTAGGTTACTCCACTACCAAATTACATATATAAAATGTTCTGTGAATTTCCCAGTATGATTCATGCTGACACAATACATTTTTATTAATTTCTAATATACTATACTTGTATCCTTATACCATGATTTGTGTCATCACATGAATGAATAGTGTGTGGAGCTCAGCTTCTACCGGCCTGTTCAATGATGAGGATACTAACTTTTCTGTCTCTGGTATGTTGTAGGTGAGTTCCATCCAAAACCAAATGCAGTCAAAGGGTGGTTATGGTGGCCACATGTCAGCGAATGTTCAGATGCAGCTGGTGGATACAAAGGTTATTCTATAGGGTCTTGGCATTCAGAAAATATATAATGTTGGGGGGTTTTACGTCATTTTCAGGCCTAAAATGTGGAATATAACATGGGTGCAAAAAATTAAAAAAGGGCCTCAGTCATGAAGGGGTTAAAGCCCATCTCTGGGCTAACCGAGAAGACTATCCTTGCAGTGGGGCTACCTTGCACTGAAAGAGTTATGGCTAGGGGACAAGAAAAAGCTTTCCTGATCCCTGCTCCCTGCGGCTCTCTCTGGGCTGCTAGACTGGCCCCCGCAGTTTCTTCTCGCTCTGGTAGTCTAAGGAGCGCTGATATTGTCACATGTAATGCAGGTTCCATAGACAAAACATGACACCAGCCAGAGCGAAGGGGAGAAAGGTGAGCGCTGAAAACCGTGGATCGGTGCTTTACTCTGGTTCCCTAGGCATAAACACACAGTTAACCCCTGCAATGCAGAGGTAGCCCCACTGCATGGGGAGGTTGTTTTTGGTTGACCCAGAGGGGGAAGAGAAGTTTATATTTACTGTCTCAGTCTGACTTTTTCAACTTGACTGTCAAGGTTTGGAAGTTTTTAAAGTCTGATAGTGGCTCCCAGTTAACTGCCTGAGCTCACACTCAGTCTTCCAGCTTTTGAATGTGCATAGCAGTATCAGATAACAGGGTCCTGAAGGTTTTATATTTCTCTTAGCTGCCAACTTCAGGTTTTTTTCTTATACTGTTAGGTACTTTTAGGAGCCTGGAGGCAGTGAGTGTGAGGATAGGTAGTTGACCAGGGTAGCAGGTTTCGTACTCCAGGTGACTTTTAGCTTCTGACGAAGTAAGTAAAGATAACGAAGTGCACTTGTATAAGTCTTTTAAACATTGGCCTAACAATGATAAGAATATGAACATTCTGTGTTAATTTATAAAGGCCCAGACATGACTGATTATATTATATATGTATGTGACCATAATATAGTTATTTCTGTGTGTCAGAGCTTTGACCTTACATACACTTTAAGGATTAAAGTTAAGTTTAAGTATTAGCATCTAGTTGACTGTAAAGTGTTAAGCTGGCCATACACTTTACAACCATCGCACGACTTTCGTCTTGCGATGGTTGTAAGGTAATTAAAAGCTTGTACGATCTGCCCTTCTTGGACAGGGAGATCGTACTTGCGTTCATCGCAAGCCCGCCCCACTTGCGCACACCGGCCCGTGCGGCATTTGTTTCACAAGCACGCCACAAACCCATCGAAAATCTTGCGATTTTCGGCTGGTTTTCCAACATGCTCGTAAGACAAAAGACCGTACAGTAGAAACGGTTGCACGCCTTCCATACACTGAACGATTATCGTACGATTTTTATGGCTAGTTTAAGATTGTGAGTTTGGTGAAGCTAACCATTATTGCTGTATCTCACACTCGCTATTCACGCTGAAAGGTCTGCAGCAAGAGCTACTATCATTGCTACTGCCAAAAGGGTATCTATGGTCAAAAATGAAAAATGAATATGTATGTCTATATTGACAGGTCTATTCACAAAAGGGTGAAGAGTTTGGAGAAGGCAGGAGAAGTGAACAATCTAGGACAACATAACTAAACTGGAAAGTGAACTGAATTAGAGAATTTTTCCAAATCAGCGATGTTGTCCTAGATTGTTCACTTCTCCTGCCTTCTCCAAACTCTTCACCCTTTTGTGAATAACCCTGTAAAGTTCTTTCCATAACCATATTGATCTAGAGGTTTTGTAAACGTATTGAAGATGCCCACAGGATGTACTTCCTCAATGCAGTGACACAATTTCACTCAGCCCTGTAATATGCACAGTGTCCTTGTATCCCCATCACTGCTTGTTGGAAGCAATGCATGATGGGATATGTAATCTTGAGCAATCAAGATTGCGGCAGGGAAAGAAATGCAAAGCACACTGGGAGTCCAGGAAGTTGATGAAAGTGATAGGCAGATAGAAATCAGCACTCACTACATAAAAGGGATTTTCTCAATAAGCTTTTATTACATTATAAAAAAACACCTCTAGTATGTATTCCTATTACAATGATGATGTTTTACCAAGATAGTATATGCTAGGACTTTACTACTCCTTTAAAATAACTTTGTTAGCATTTGCATATGTTTCTGCTTTAGCTGCATTGTTTGTCAAAGTTATTCATGATAGTTTAACTCTTGTCTTTTTAGGGTTTCCTGGATGGTCTATAGCTACTCTTTCCCTCTGTCTTCACCACCCTCATTTTGCATCAGTGACTTCTTTCTGTTTTCTCCATTGTGTGCAAGATGATGCATTGTCCTTCCATGCGATGGAACAAGATGATGACCTGTGCTGACGATTTGGATATTTTATAGGCAGTGCCATACCTCTGTGGTGAAAAAGGCACCAAACTAAATATATTAGGAATCCAATTTGCAGGCCCACACTTTCACACCCCTGCTTTTTATTTTCATTTTGCAATTGTTTTTTAGTTTAATATTTGCTCTAGTCATGCCTTTACTCGTGTTTTTTGAGAATGCCCGGGATCTCCAAGCACAATACTAGTTGCGACTGGACTTTCGATGACGTAGATGACTTGCATGCTATGTAATGTTGCTTTGTACAGTGGCCTGGTATGGGCCTAACAAACAATTGATCTTTTGCTAAAGACTGATCATAAATCTGCCAAAATGTCCTCCTGAAGCTACAGGACGCTTGAGCCTCTTAGAATAAGAGTAAGAACTTCTAGATTAGTTACTCTAGAATTCTGTCACTTTAGGTCTACCCAAACTGATCTCGGTAATGATGACCAATATAATAATAATAATAATATTGACAATGATAAGTAATAATAAATCGCTTCCATTCATAAGGAATTCTGCTGTAAATGTTCAATATATTTATTTGAAAGATCTGACCTCGAGATTGTAAACAAGTGTAGTAACCTATAAAGTGTTGTGTTGGTGCTTTTGTCTGTAAACAAGAAAAAAAAAACTAAAAAAACCTTTAAAAAAAAATCCTACTGAGATAGAAAAAACATTCTTGCTTTTTACCCATTCATATGCCTATGGTTAAGTATTGTCTATTGCATGTCAGGCTACCTGCGATATTACCCTAAAATGTATGATATGCAAACATTCCCTCATTAAATGGTTCATGACATCTGATTAGAATCTACCAACATGGTTTACATCACAGCAGAGAGAGGCTGACGGAGAGAATCGGGCCGTACTACCAAATAACTGACTGTTAAGATGCCCATAGTCTGAGATAAGGGGCCTGCTGTTAATGTCTGCTCTGAGGGCCTCAGCTCTCATTGTGGTAAAGCATGATGGCTGTCACTTAACATTTGGACACTAAGCTGTATATTCTAGAAACTGAAGCTTAACAATACATTAACCACAAACTGTGATTTCTATAGAAATATTAACAATGTGCCCTCTCAGATTATTTTTCTTTTGCAAAATAACCTATATGGGAAAATACAAAAAAGTGTATGACATAGGAAAAAGAATGAACTTTAAGTTACACTATTGATCTAACCTCTGAGCACTTTTCCATGCAGTCCACCATTTTCAGGCTTGAGGGAACATAGGCTTTAGAATCAGTCCGGCTGCTAACAAACCTTTAAACGTGCTGCAGCGTGGATGCGGAATGTTCCAAGGGTAGAATACAAGTGGATAAACTGGCATCTAACATACAGGGTGACGTTTTTACAGTGTCTGTAAAATAAGTCTTCTGCTCAGGTTCCGAAACATGTATGTCTTTTATGCATTGTGAACATAGTTTAATATATATTGCACTGTCTATGGATGTACATGTCGTTTGGTCTCGTTTTCAAGTCAAGCTAGCGTTGTGGACGGCAACATTTTTTACTCAAGTAAAGCTTGTCGTTGTCCACATCAAAGTACTGAAAATGTAAATCCGATTAAATACCTGTCATGAAGCCAAAATGTACTGTTCAATTCAAATATAGCAAGCTCTACCGCATACCAACCACAACCCTGTCTTTGAAGTGTCAAGAAAGATGGTTAATCAGAGAGAACAAGTTAAGAAAAAAAAGAGTGGCGTGAATTTATTGCAACAATGAGAAACACCAGAACAACGCTCCATGTGAATATGCAGTGGTGGAAGGAATATTCAATCTGGGACCTACCAGGTGACAACTATTAGTCATGGTTATATGACAGCCACTGCGTGGACACTGTGGAAGGAGCCATTTTGTGATCTCTTCTAATACTCACTATAGTACAATATTCGCAAACTGTTGGAAACCTTTCTCTCTGATATTGGCTTTGCCCACTCTAAGCTGCCCATTTATTTATAACCATACCTGTTCTATTGCAGCTTTACCTGGTAGGTAGCACATATGTCAGCTTTTTTACTACAGCAGCATAAAGAGTAATTGGTAAAATACAGCAAACCAGTCCAATTTCAGATCGCTAAAAACATGAATTTGGTTTTTCTGTTTCTTTGGCAGTGCAAAGAGTAATGGTGCTGTACTTAAAGCAGGATCTCATGGTCACCTTTCTGCAGTGTTCTCATTTGTGACAATGATCTGTCCTTTACACCAGCACTGAATGGTCAGACAGGAGGCTTCTCTACAGATTTTAGTTTGACCACACTCATGCAATCAAAATAGGCCAAAAAGGTGCTTTCCCCATCAATATTTTATTAGCAAAATGACTTCCTTCACACTGTCAGGTGCTTTTTATGCGGTTGCAATTTATTCAATGGTGTGACCAGAATTCAGTATTGTGTTGTGATTTTACACACTGTTCTGCAAAAAAATACAAAAACATTATCAAACTGTGCCAGGATTCTTTGCCATGCTTTTTATCATCCTACCACCAAGCTGTTTGAAGAGCAGGATTATCAAAAAGATATTTTCACATTCTTTAATCAAGAGAAAACAAAAATAATTGACATATTTTTATAACAAAGCATACTTTTTGTACATTGTGTTCATTCTTGGGGAAAAAAAAAAAGTCAGTTCAGTGTTGGCTTGTAGATATTACAGAGAAGTATTGACATTGATTCAATAAATGTTTTCTTTCATCTCTGCGTTGAATATTTCATTTAATTTTCTGAACATTATCAAATAAAGTTGGCAACTGAAAGAATACACAGCGAGAAGTGTATTTGTTGTTTAAAATAAAATTTTAAAAACTGTAGCCTAGATATTGTTTCACATGTATGGAAGTCTTCTGCCTCAGAGAATAACTCTACAAGGGCAACAAGTAAAATGACAATACTGTTCACAACAGAAAGACCACAAGCAGTGATATCAGCAGAGAGTATTGAATCATTCAAAAATCAATTGGATACCATCCTCTGAGACCGTAACATACAGGTACACTTAAATACTAGACCATACAGCAGGGGTGCCCATTAGGTAGATCGTGATCTACCAGTAGCTCTGAAAGCTGATGCTGGTAGATCAGGAAGGGTGTGAATGGCGGCCCCTTTATTCCATTTTGGTATATTTATTTAGCTGTGCACACATGATTACCTATTAGCCTGAGTCTGCTGAGCCAAGCTCCCTGGCACCTTTCTGGTGGATACTGGTGGTTGAAGTGCTATGTATTACATCAAAGAATATTACTTTGCACAGCCTGTTGCACTGCACTGTTTGGAAAATACAGCAAGGTGAGCAAGGAGAGAGAGCGGGAGAGACAGCCATGGGATCAAAGAGAGAGGAGAGACAGCCAGGAGATCAAAGAGAGACTGCCAGGGGAGAGAGCAAGGAGAGACAGCCAGGAGAGAGAGAGCAAGGGAGGGTTTTTTTTCGTTGGTAGATCTCAAGAAGCTCATCATTTGAAAAGTAAATCTTAACACAAAAAGTTGTGGGCACCCCTGCCATACAGGGACTCATACACATGCACGGACAACAAACACACACACACACACACAAAGGTTGGACTTGTTTCTTTTTTCAACCTCAAATATTATGTAACTATGTAAAAAAGAAGGACCTGTAGTCACGTTTTCTCGATATACTGTACATGCAATAGAGGTCAGCCTTGTATAATAATTAGTGTGTGTTAAAAAGAACACTAGAAAGCAAAAAAACACTGAGGCCTGTTCTCATTATCCTGTCTGCAAAACCGCTGCATTTTAGTAGACAGGGCAGATGGGTTAGTGCGTTGTGACCTCTCCGGCAGTGTGTCTTGTATTGCACACTGCCAGAGTTATCAATGTTTAAAAAAAATTTTTTGTCACAAGTAATTTTTTTTATTGTGATTATACATGTCATAGATTCAAACAATAGTCAAGTAAAACAAGCAGTGAAATATACACAAATTAGGTTCAATATGTGAGGTGGGAATTGGGGGGAAGTGGTTCCAAGTGGATCAAGACGAGCCATACTTTGTAGAGCAGTTTCGTGTGTAGCTAGCATGTCTCACTCGTTAAGCCCTAAGAGACAAAAGCATGACGCAGAAGCCCAAGTGTTGCTAAAAAGTTGATGTTGTTGTAGGTAGCTGAGCTTGAGGTCCCATGGAAGGACCAACTGCGTTGACGTTGCAGATCTAAGAGGGCATGCCAGGCTGTGCTAGTATGGCAGGATCTGATCTATAAAGTTAACTAGGTGAAAGGGGGGGGGGAGAAATAAATTAAAAATATAATATATTTTTTTAAAAGGGGGGGGAGAAGGGGTGCGGGATTCTATTCAAAGCTCCTAGTGAGCTGTAAGGTGTGTAGGGATCGAATGAGAAGGGGGATAGGAAGGAGGGAGAAAGATAGTGGAAAGGAGAAAGAAAGGTTGGTTGGCTTAGAGAAGAGCGGGCTGCGGGGAAGGCCTAAAGGAGGAGGGAAAAGGAGAAGGAAGAATAAAGAGTGAGAAAGAGAGAGCGTCTCGCATGCTTCCAATGGTCTCGAATAGATTATCAGGGGCTACGGCATGTAAGGTCGGACCGTAGGGAGGAATGAAGGGGGGGAGATAAAGGTTGGATTACCGAGATAAAGGATGGAATATTGGGATCCATGTATACCTTTCTGCCGCTTTGAAGTGCCAGGCAGCCCACGTTTTCACGTAGCGAGGCATGGTGTCTTTATCACTGGAGATTGGTTCCTCCATGTTTGCCACTGTGTCTACTCGAGATAGCCATTCCCTTATTGTAGGCGGGCAGGACGCCTTCCAGTGTCTGGGAATCACTGTTTTAGCTGCGTTTAGTAGGTGTAAAACCAGGGATTTTTTGGAGATGTGCTGTGATTCGTCGAATTGGTACAGTAGGAAGGATTCTGCAGAGAGTTCCAATGACAAACCAGTTATGACTCTTATGAGAGAATGTACTTCGGTCCAAAACTTGGCTGTGAGAGAGGCAAGTCCACCAAATGTGAAGAAGCGTACTCATGTCTTGGGAGCAACGCCAACATGTGCTGGGCGTATCAGGAAAGATGTGATGAAGAATCTCGGGTTTTGTACCACCTGGAGCGTATTTTATAGTTGGTTTCCTGAACTTGCACATTCAATGAGCTCTTCAGTAAAAGATCATCCATTCTTTCCCATTCCCCGGGGGTAAAGGTGATGGATAAGTCCTTTTCCCATGCCCTCGTGGAAGGAAGAGTTGGGAGAGAAGAGGATAGTAAGTTTCCGAGACTGTATGCGAGATCCTTCCACATGCCATACAGAGTTTTTCGAATTGAGTAAGGGGTCGTGTGTAGTTGTGTCTAGTTTGTTGTGTATTGAGAAAGTGGCGAAGTTGCATGTATTGCCACAATGGTAATGGCCCAGCTTGGGAATCTGAGTTGAGGTTAATCAAGGACCTGAATCTCCCTTGGGCATCAAAAAACATTTGCGCCCGTAGGACCTCGTTGGGGGACCAGCAGCGCTGAAATGAGGAGTGGAGACCCAGGGGAAAGGCCGGATTCATGCAAACCGGGGTGATGGGACTGAGTGTGGATGAGAAGTCCGTGTTTCTGCATATCTCATCGAAGAGGCGCAGTGAAATACCCACCGTAGGGTGGGAGAGCACTTGGGGAGGGAGTAGGGATCTTTGGATCCAGGGCCAGGAGCCAATTGGGAATCCTAATTGAAGTTTTTCTATCTGGACCCAATCTTTGTATGGCCCGTCTCGAGCCCAGTCTATGATGCGGGTTAGGTGGCAAGCTCTATAATAGTTGTGTACATGGGGGATCCCTATGCCTCCATGGGATTTTGAGCGGGTCAAGGTTGAGAACCCAATTTGTGGTGATCCATCGTTCCATAAGAAGGTGTGAAATAGCGCGTTGACCGAGGAAAAAAAGGCCTTGGGTAGAGATACGCACAGTCTGGAACAGGTATAGGAGTCTGGGCAAGACTGTAATTTTAAGAATTGCCGCTCGCCCAAACCAAGAGT